TGCTCGTTGTTCTCTCTGAAGCCCTTCCTGGCCAGTGACCCTCATACCTGTCATATTGGGCCTCCTAGTATACGCTGCACCAGTGGCACTCTTCAGGAAAGCACCTCCTTGCTTCTTCTTCTTCTTTTGGTTTGCATAAGTTTGGGACGGGTGCTGCAGACCTGTTCCCCTAACGGTGGTGCGTTCCTCTAGTGCAATGAGCCTTCTGCCAATAACTTGAGTGAGAAAACATTGATGTCCTATCGCTGCTCAATAGAGAGCATTTTAACCTATTGCGTTTGTGCCTGGTTTGCCAGTTGTACGGCTGTGGAGAGGAAAGCACTCTTGAGAGTTGTTATTACAGCCCAGAGGATCATTGGCTGCCCTCTCCCATTCCTGGAGGAATTGTATAGTTCTCGATGTTTGAAAAAAGCAAAGAACATTTTGCAGGACTTGTCACATCCTGAACATTCCCTGTTTGAACTGCTGCCTTCGGGCAGAAGATACAGGACAATTAAAGCAAGGACAAATAGATTAAAAAATAGTTTTTATTCGAGAGCTATTATCGCCTTAAATGCTGTATGAAATTGGAATTTGGGTGACATTGGTGGTTTTAAGTTGTTATGTGAATCTTAAGGGAGTTATGGGACAGTAGTGAATGGTGTGTGAGTGTATATGAACATTGTTATAGATCACTGAAATGATTGCATCTTTAATTTCGTTGTACTATGTACAATGACAATAAAGTTTATTATTATTATTATTATTATTATTATTATTATTATTATTATTATTATTATTATTATTATTATTATTATTATTATTATTATTATTATTATTATTATTATTATTATTATTATTATTATTATTATTATTATTATGCAGGAGCTACTGTTAGCAGGACAAATATGCAGGATCTGGTTTTGTTTGGTTCTCTGTTGCTGCTTAAAATTGTGCTCCCTTTTTAAAAGATCCTCCACTTTTTCACTGATGAGTGTGTCACTGGTTTGACCTGAGCCTCCCAGGACAATCTGAATAGAAAAAGCAGGATACAGATGTTCCTCCCTAAGCAGGCAGACCTTGGCTTTGAGGGGGGGGGACATTTTTTCCCATCCCGCTCTGGAATTCAAGGCGTGAAACTTTTGCAAACTCATCATTGGGGCAGGGGGAGAGTAGCTTTACGACTTGTGTTCAGAATAGTTACGAGCTCTTAGCGGAAGAGAAGCAGTACAGAAATGCAATAAGTAAATGACAAAAATAAAAATAAGACTCATGTAAAGGTTTCGTGTCACAACTTTCTAGTACGAACCTTGGCCTAGACTCCCAACGTTCAGATAATCTCAGTCTTCACCCTGATTTGGGTAGACCAGGCAAGCCCGATCTTGTCAGATCTCAGAAGCTAAGCAGGACCGACTCTGGCAAGTACTTGGAAGGCAGACCTCCAAGGAATACCGGGGGTGGGAGGCAGAGACAGGCTAATCAAGCCACCTCTCTGGAAAATGTCCAAGCCTCCAGTAGGGGTCGCCAGAAGACAACCATGATTTCTGGACAAACACAAACACACACGCAAATATATATATATATATAAAAATAAAGATAATCTCAGTCTCCCTTCGTAGTAGTAGTAATAGTAGTAGTAGTAGTAGTAGTAATAATAATAATATACTTTATTGTCATTGTACATAGTACAATGAAATAAAAGGTGCAATCATAAGGGAAGAATAAAAATAAATAAATAAATAACGTTTTTGGTCCTTAATGACTTTGGAGCGGGGGTTCCCATTTGCCCACTTATGGTGGGAGACTTCCAGGTAATTCACCTGATTGGTGGGTGGAAACTGGGGCCAGAGGGGGCATGCTGTCGTCCTGGGGACAAAAATTTTAAAAAAGAAAAATAAGGCCTCATCTACATACAGGAAGTTTTGCTCATAGAGTTCCTGGCGATTCCTAGAGCTACCTGGAAATAACAGTGGTAGCTCTAGGCATTACCAGAAACTCTGTGGTCAGAACATCCTGGAAGTAGACAATGCCTAATCTTTCTTATTTTTCTCCTGGGATGCAGCCCCCCTCAACCCTCTTGCCAGTTGCCAGGCACTACCTGGCAACCCTGCTTCTGAAACAGGCTTAACAACCAAGGGTGACAGAGGGATTTCACAGTGCCTCAGGGTTTGTGAGTGATGCTGGAAAAGGAGAGATCATTACACAATAGAGCAGCCTTCCCATAATTCCCCTGGTCTCTTTCTTACCCTTTCCAGAAGATGCTGAAGTCTCAAGTGAGTCTGAGAGCGAGGAACAGGTATCGTCGAAGGGAGAGGAAGTTGCTGATGCCCTGCCGGCCGTCTCAGAAGCCACAAGCCCTCTAGAAACCTGGGACACCACCGTCAAAAATAGCCCTCCCAGCAAAGACGAGAACAGGCCCCGATGGCGTCGGACTGAGCCCCGCTTTGGATGCCCTGACTGCGGAAAGACGTTCCCGTGGCAGTCGGCCTTGGCGCGACACCAGCTCTCTCACTCCGGAGAGAAGCCCTATCGGTGCACCGACTGTCCGAAAAGCTTTGCGCAGCGCTCAAAACTGGCCCGCCACCGATGCCTCCATACGGGGGAACCCTCTTGTGAGTGCCCAGATTGTGGGAAGCGCTTCTGTGACCGCTACAAGCTGGCTAGGCACCAGAAGACCCACTCCAGTGAGCGTCCCTTCCGCTGCGATGTGTGTGGCCGTGGCTTCTGCCTCAGTTCCAATCTGCGGCAGCATCGGCGGGTGCACACGGGGGAGCGCCCCCACGGCTGCCCGGAGTGCGGTAGGCATTTCAGCCGCCGCTCCAACCTGATCCAGCACCTCCGGGTACACCAGCTGCAGTGGCAGCAGCAAGGGGGGCCTGGTGTGGAGCTCCACGGCAGAGACTCTGAGCTCGGACAAAGCTTTGGCCTCTGTGAGGAGGAGTGGGAATATGAATGGATTGCAGACACACAGGATGGGGAACGGACAGGGGAGCTCCATTCCGGGGACTATGAAGGAGAGCTGCGCTCGGGCCTCCTCACTGAGGATCATCAAGACGAGGAGATCCTGGAGCTCCGCGTGGGGGAGTACGAGCATGGTTGGAGCTCTGAGATCAACAACGGACACCACGAAACCAACCCGTTCCTTGAGCTCCAGCCTGGGAGCCATGAATTCCAGCAGGGTTTAGAACTTCCGTCCGGGGACCACGAGAACGAGATCGTGGAGCTCCGTGTGGGAGAGGGTGACGCCCACAGGTGGAACGAGGCGCTGGATGGTGAGGATGACGACGAGGATGACGACTGCCTGCTTGTCACTGATGAAGGGCCACTCCATCCTGACGGCAGGGGGAATTGTCATGGCACCAGCCTCCCGTCCGTCAACCACACCCACTCAGCAGGACGCGAGGTCCGCTCCGACTGTGGGCGGTCGTTCACCCGGCACTCCAGCCTCTCCCGACACCAGCTGATCCATTCCACTATGCACCCTCATGCTTGCCGGGAATGCTGCCGTTCCTTCACTTTGCCCAGCCTGCTTGCCCAACACCAGCTCACCCATGCCGCCGGGCAGCCTCACCCCTGCCCTGACTGCCCCAAAAGCTTCAGCCACCGTTCCAAACTGTTGCGCCATCAGCGCATCCACACGGGCGAGCGCCCTTTCCAGTGCGACGAATGTGGGAAAAGCTACCGGGATAGCTCCACCCTCCAGCGGCACCAGCGTGGCCATGACAGGTCCCAGGCCTTGACATCGGTCCCCCTGCAGGACACCTCTCCCCCCTCCCCCGATCCCGTGGTGGTGATCGTTTAAGCTTCAGCCGAATTCGGTGGACGTTTCGCTGCGAGAAGCGAAACGGTGCAAACTGGAATTACTTGATAAAGAATCAGCCGCATAAGCACAAGTGGGTTCCGTGGGGCACTGTCCCGACTGTGGTTTTTATTTTGGGTGCTGGGGTGTTCCTATTACTGTTGTGGAAGAATACTAATTTGGAAATATTTTTGAGAAGGGACATGAGTGGGGGGAGGAGACAAAGGCACGGGTTGGAAGGTTTGCAAGGAGGCAGGGAACCTGAAGACCCGCGTGGCCTATAGTTGTATGTATGTTGGGTGTAGTTTGCACCCAGATATTTATTCCGGTTCACCTCCAGGAGTAAGTTTTGGGGCTTTCTCAGAAGTGCGGGGGGTAACTGTGGGGACGGTGGGGGGACGTCCAAATTCCTGGCGACGTTTAGTTTTGTTTTTCCTGCCCCCCCCCCCCCGGGGCTCTGTGCCATCTGAACTTGCCTTTTCAGATAATCTGGCCTCCCTAGATGACTTATTTCCCCCTCAGCTGATAGGTGGAGACTTGGTCAGAACTGTGAAGTATACCTAAGCCACACCCCCAGCTATGTTGATGTTTCTGAAAGGGTACGGGATTGGGTGACTTATACCTGTGGAAGAGACGGGTCAGCAGGTGCTGGAATTGTCAGGTGCTGTACCAGGAGGGGTCTCCCTTCAACCTTTTACCAAGTGAACAGAGGCAGGGCAAAACGTCTGCTCATTGTAGCAGTATGCCCTAAGACAGTAGAGGAGAAGTTCTGTGCACGCCTCCAGGACCCCAAACGGTCAACGGGATCCACTTTTCAGAATGAAATCACCTTTACACCCTGTGTTGGTTACTTTGGAGCGGTCCGCTTCGGGGCTTAGAGCGGATGCATTGGTTTTGTCTGGCCTGCTCCATAACGGTCAGACGCATAAAGAGAACCTTTTTTCTGGACTGTACCACTTCAAACCGCAGGTGGGCGATTGCTGGGTTGTGAGTCTTTCTTTTAAAATCCCGTGTACACAGAAAGCTGGTGTATCAGGGAGAAAGCCAGGGTAGAATCCTCCTCTGGGACGACAAAGCTCGGAGCCTAGGAACTCATTCGTAGGATCCAGTTCCAGGTTTTCTACATGCAGTGAAGTGTTAAAAGTTCACCCATGCATCCGTCCGTCCCTTCGTGTCCTCCCCCCCCTCCCGTTTGTAGTCTGAAATGGTACAGTCTAGAAACATGCTTACTGCCTCATCTGCTGTTTGGGTAAACTAGGCCTTAAGGGCTCCAGAGGTCATGGAAGATCTTTTTTGGGGGGAGGAAGAGGGGTAGGGGGATGCATTTCTCTTCTTTAATTTAACTTTTACCCTCCAGTCCCACCTCCGGGGCTTTCTTCCGTTCTCATATAGTTCTCTCTATGTTTCCCCCTCAGTTGCTCAGTCAAGAGTCTGTGAACTGTGGCCTTTCTGTCTCTCTCACGGTGGGCTTGGTCTACTGTGGTCTTCAACTGTCCTGTCCCCCCACAGGGCCCAGTTATACAGGCGTGTGGGGCGCGGTCCCTCCAGAGATTCAGGGACACGGGAAGAATTACGGATGGCTTCGAGGCGGTTGTTTGTACATATGGAAAATAAAATCTATTTTCTTTTTCTGTATTCCGTGCGTTTCTGCCCAGAATCTATAGTGCTGTTTTTGAGCTTCCAAACCTTCCACGCTTCAAGGGAAAAGCTGTCACACCCCATTTTTCTGTAGGGCCAAGTCTCTGCGTTGTGTGATGGTGAAATGCCAAAATGCATTTTCCTTTGCTGCGTCTCAGTGCTAGGAATAGGTCGGCCGGCTGCTCCTTTGCCTCCGAATAGCACAGGAGCCCCATTTTTAAAAAATGCCGGCGACTTGCATGCACACACTGACAACATGTGCAGTCCTGAAGATCAAGGAAAAGAATTTAAGAATGGCCCTGCCAGTCCACCATCCTGTTTCCTGAGCATGCAGTCAACTTTCCTTCCTCTAATAGTAGCCCTGCAGCTTCTGGTATATAGAGATACGCAGTCAGGGGTCATTTTGTAGAAAAAGAGGTGCAGGAGATCATTAGCATAACTCATTTGCATATGCCACACGCCCCTGACATCACCGGAGGTGCGTCTTAACCACTTGAGCCACAGCAGCGCCTATTCTCACTGTAGTTCCCCCTTTTTGTGCTCAGACAGAACAGACCTTAGGCTTAGGGTATGTATGAATAAACCTAGTTGGAACAGCAGAAGCTCCTTGGAAAGTCACGTGTCTCGTGTTTGTTAAA